ACTAAACTACACAAGAGTACTCAGGGAGCATGAGCCTCTAAGAATGATAAGCCACAAAGAATGAAAGAAAGGAATGTCAAAGATAAAGGTACAAAGAATGAAGGGATGGACAAAGGGTAAGAGACTATAGAATGAACAGAGAATGAAGGAGTGGCCAAAGGAATGGAATGATGAAGTAAGGAAGGGTAGTAGTAAGAGTCAGCACACATATAGTCTATAGACAGTGCCTCTGAGGGACAGAAGTCCTGAGTTCTGGTACAGAAGGGTGTAGAACCCTTAGAACTGAAGGTAAGAGAGTAGAGAATTGTAACACTAGAGACTAGAAGGAGGATGAGGATGGACAGGTCTACTAGAAAGACTAACTATATGTTCTAAAGGATTAGAAGCTGTAGAAGGATATTGTTTAAGCTTATTATAACAATCTGACAGTAGGACATTTAGATAGACACAAAACACAGAAACTCATTACTCAGAACTACTAGTAGCTAGGAATACAGAGGGAAATCCTAAAGTATGTAAGTAGTTGTAATATGTACTAGCAGACTAAAGCTTACTAGATAAGGGTTCAGACTCTCTTACATTTGTACTGAATCTTAGATTACTCTTAGGAAGAAGTCTTAGTAGACCTGATTAGTAAACTATCTGAGTCTTAGAGTTATAATACTATCTGTATAATTGTTGACTGGTTCTCTAAGCAGATCCATATAGTCTCAACCTGAATAGAACTCACTTCTAAAAGTATAGTATACATTTATCAGAACTATGTCTTCTGATTGTACAGACTCTCTCAGAAGCTTATTTATGATTGTAAACTATAATTTAAGTCAAAATTCATGTAGGACTTGTATACACTTTTTAGAATCTAAGAGAACCTCTCTACTACATACTATCCTCAGACTGATAGTCAAACTAAGTGAGTCAATCAGGAGATTGAACTCTACCTCTAAATGTTTATCAATTATTAACAGTCAGACTAGTCTGAATAGTTAGTACTGACAGAATTTGTATATAACAACTAGTAGTACTTAGTTACAGAACAATCCCTGTTCTTTCTCAACTACAGAAGACATTTATATTAAGGAACTGTTCTAAGCTGGAACAGGAGTTCTGAATCTGTAACAGACTTTACTGATTAGATACACAAGACTAGAGAGGATGTACAAGCTCTTTTGAAACAGGTAGTACAAGTTATGAAACAGAACTATAATTGGAAGAGATCTGTAGCTAAGAATTACTAGCTTAGTAACAAAGTAATGTTAGAAGCTACTAATTTGACTACAGATTACTTAATGAAGAAGTTGGACAACAAGTACTTTAGACCCTTTGTTATTAAGAAGAAGGTTAGTGTCTCTGCCTACAAACTTTAACTCTTAGTAACCTGAAAGTATATACATTCAGTGTTTAATAAGGTTCTACTATCTTAGTATTGTGACTCAGACTACTCTTCATAGTAAAGACTCTTACTGCCTCTGCCAGAACTCATCAGTTCCAAACCAGAATACAAGGTAGAATATGTAGTAAATACCAAACTAGTATGTAGAAGGCTTAAATTCCTTGTTTACTAGAAAGGATATTTAGTTAAGGAGTGTACTTAGGAACCTACTGAAAATCTTACTCACACTACTAATACAATCCAAGACTTCTATAAACTTCATTCTGGAGCCTTACACTAGATCTGTTTTATAAACTTTCAGACCTTATTGTTCTGACCTATACTTGAACTACTTACTGTACTAAGTGTCTGTCAATCAGGATGATTGATTTTAGAGGAGGAGTAATGTTACAATCCAACACTTTACACTCTTAGAACTGTCAGTTCTGACAGAACTCAGAACTTCTGTATCTTGAGTGTGTAATACACTAATTATATATAGGTCAACTTACATAATTACTCTTATTCCTGTATTGTCTGACCTCTACTATTATTCTTTCATTCACTCTACATCTTACCCCTTCCTCTCTAGTCCTGCATTCTTTATCTACCTACTTTCAACCCTTTTTCCTTTATCTCTTGTAACTTATCATTTCCTGAGTACTTTTGTGTAATTTAGTATATATACTAGTACAAGATCAGACTGGTCCTGTAGTCTTGATCTTGTCTACTCTAAGTAGTCCTGTACTCTTAGGCTCACTCTATATACCTTACTCTTGTCTCACTCTATTACTATGTCCAAACCCTAGGTTCTACACATTCTGATACTTACATTCTAGTACTTGTGTCTCTGTATCTCTGTATTTCTGTTGTGTAGGATAGTTGTAGCCTGGGTCCCCTTGCTAAGCCTTTAGGTCCCCTCTACACTGTTACTAACATTAATCTAGTCTAGCATTTCTTCTGGTTCAAATAGAACTAGACTACAGGCCTAGACTGTATCTATATCTTAGTCTAAGTAGTTCAGAACTAAATGTATAAAACTATAATCTTAGGCACATTAAAAAACCTAGTTAAATAAGTAGTAATATTATTATATACTTGCAAAAAGTATTGTTAATAAACCTAGCAAAATTTGGACTGAGAGAGTTGGAAGTTTCTGGCAGAAAGTTAAACACCAGCTTATTGTGCCTGCATCTTAGAAGGTGGTAAACACTTTGCCACATTACTATTTTGCTTCAGTCATTTAATGTAGATAGATCTATATAAATTAGCAATGCTAGTATCAAGTGTATAAGGATTAGTAACAAGCAAACTTATTAGACAGTAGGTATAAGAACTACTGACTTTGCTAGTAGTTATGGCCAACTTTAACCTGATAATCCTTGCAAATAACCTTGCTAAGGACTCAAAGAATTAGACAGTATTCATCCTTTAAGCAAGAATTTCGACTGTAAGTGGCATGTTTTCATCACAGAGTACTATACTGCTATATACTTGAAGAATGAATCTTCTTGCCTTTTGTCCTTTCATCCCATTCTCTCCCGTGCAATTCACTTATCTCGTTTCCAGTTGACATGGAAGGTGAACCCGCCACTGCAAGGACAATATTGATAGAGGATCCAGAGAATTGGGAGCTTGTTCCTGCAAAGGATTTGGTTCCAGCTTACTACATCCTTACAATACCAGTTCAAACAAGTAATAGAGAGTCCCGCAAATATGCAGTTATTCGCCTAATCAACGGTCTTGAAGCTACGATCGTTAGCGATAACCTCCTGGACAGGTCGGCTGGTTGCATCGATGTCGCGACAGGAAAGTTCAATGATCCAGTAAGTCTACTTAACTATCTTACATTAGTCTTTGGTACATTATACCGTTCCTCTATTATGTTCCGCCTTTTCAATATCTGCTGGGTGTCTCGTCCGAAGTGTTTGCGGATCGTTCAGACAACGTATCACCTGTGTAGGATGTCACTTACTTATTTCGTAGGAAGACATGGCCGGCACGGCCCATTACTGTGAGCATCTGTTATTCATGGTAAGTCAGGTTTTTAATTCATAAACATCATAATTCGTATGCACGGTGCTCACTTCCATGGCTATGTCCATAGGGTTCGAAGAAATATCCAGAGGAAAATGAGTTTCATGAGGTAAAATCTCGAGAATTTAATAATTCATATATGTCTCTCACTACATGTAGTACATTGCCTTGAACAACGGCTACTTCAATGCAGCGACGGGTAACTCGAACACCGAATTTCACTTTGAAGTTGCTTCGGATGCTCTCAAGGGCGCGCTCGAGCGCTTTTCCGCATTCTTTTACTGTCCACGCTTTCATAAAGACGCGGCCCTGCGCGAGATCAAGTCGATCGATTCCGAGTATTCAGGAAAGCTGCAAGATGATATACGGAGACTACAGTATATGGAATTTGCACTTGCCCATTCCTCCCATCCTTTAAGAAAATTCGGCACGGGTAGCGAGGACACGCTAATAGGGAAGTTTCTGGCCTCGAAGACATCACCTCTACGTCGTGAGTTTGACAAGAATGAAAACAGACATATAAGCAGACCTTCAAACAGAGACACTGCCGGCGAGATTTCTGAGAGAAGCGATGACTGCATCAGTCGAACTTCCTCGTTTAGAAGGCACGTGAAGCATGAGAAAAATTCACTGAGAAAGAGCATCAGCGAGACGTCATTGAGAAATGCTGGAAGCCCAAATTGGTTGCCGATGAAGCAACTCTCGGAGGATGGCCACGATCACAGAAGATCTTCTAGCAACAGTTCTACTCGAAGTGCAAATTCCACGACAGGGACACTTTCAGGGACAGAAAATAGTCACATTAGTAGAGAATTGACTAGAATTCCGAGTAAAACGGACCCACAAGCTGTCAGAGAGGAAGCAAAGAAAGTAGCTGCCCTGAAGGCCCGAGAGAAACTGAAGAAGTGGTGGAAGAGGGAATATTGTGCAGAGAGGATGAAGTTGGCAATAGTCGGAAAAGGTTAGTTGCCTCACTGTCGTAATCCACCCTAGTTCTGATCACATTGCCCAGAACCTCTTTACGAAATTATCGATATGGTTGTGAGACTCTTCTCGCCGATAAAAAGTAGAGGACAATACCCGGCCGTAGTCGCCTTCCCTCAGCAGCCGTACGGGAAGGAAGAACTTGGGGTATGTTTCCTAGACTTACTTCTGCATAGGACTCATGTTTACAATTCATAAATTATTCTTTAGAAAATTGTGTATGTTAAGACAATCGAGAAGATGTACGAAATAATTATTACCTTCCCCATCCCCTGGCAGATACCTCAGTGGCGTGAAAAGCCAGTGTACTATCTTGCTCATCTACTTGGCCACGAAGGTCCTCATTCGCTATACGCCTACCTGAAAAACAAGGGATGGCTTTTGAGACTATTATCTGGGCATGCAATATACGGTCATGGAATTAGTCTGCTTAAGCTGACGCTTGAACTGACCAAAGAAGGATTACGTGCGTAAATGTTTTTGTGATTCCATATTCACTGTCGACGATGTCCGTATAGAGAACTATCGGGAAGTTATCTTAACATGTTTCAAGTTCATCAACCTACTACGCAAATCTCAGATCCCGTCGTGGATGCACCAAGAACGGTATTGGATCGAGTGGTTGTCGTTCCAACACGACCGGGAACCGCAAGCGCTTCCTCTGGTTAGGAACATCGTCGACTCAATGAAGTATCCAACGAGGCGTGATCTTCTCCTGAATGGACCGTTATTGCCTTGGGAGTGGAAACCCTGGGAGGAGAATCCTGTTAAGGATATGTTAGAGAATCTGGATGTTGAGAACTGTTATGTCATTGTAGCGGCTCGTAATCATGACCATACTCTGAAGGCAGAGACATGGCACAAGGAGCGCTGGTTTGGAGCAGAGTATGTACAGAAACGGTTCGACGCTAAGTTCATTTCCAAAGTGCATGTCTACGTAAGTATTTGAATCTTTCACTCTGACCCATGGTTGTGATTACCAGGCTCGCGAAGACAACGACATCAGAGATCTTGCTTTTCCAGGAACAAACCCATTTATTCTCAAGAATATTGTCATCTACGGTGTAGGCGTTAATGCACCAAAGAAACGGCCTGCACTCATTTTGTGTGCGCCGAACATGGAAGTGTGGTATAGGCCGAATGATCAGTTTCGATCACCACACGCCATTGTGCATATTGCAGCACAGACGTGAGTTCGCCCTGATTCATATTATTCGGGCCTTATTCTCACCGTCTATACTTACTGTCCTTCTGAGTAGACCATTTGCTGGGGCTACTCCTCGAGCTAAAATATTGACCCATCTAATTATGGACCTTGTAAAAGATGCAGTTCATGAATACGCATTCTATGCACGAGTAGCTGGCCTGGGATACAATTTATTTGGTACTTCGCGCGGGTTTGAAGTGTATTTTATGGGTTACAGCGAGAAATTACGTGACCTCGTTCAGGCAGTTCTAATCGGGCTGAAACGTCTGGACATTCGGGAGGATAGGTTGCAGGTTATGATTAAACGGGTAACGTTACGTTTATGCTGAGGTGATAAGACAGTATTTTGAGACCTGTATACACTCCTCAGAGACGACGAGCTTTCAAGAATGAACGCCTTTCACGACCATACGAAATCTGCGAGTCTCGCTTGCAGTACCTTATTCAAGACGATTGCCTCACCACGGAGGAGAAGTTGGATAACTTGAAAGGTATGTTATTAGTCGTTATATTAAAGACTATTGTACGAACATATATTATAGGAATTACGGCTGAGAAGCTCTCAGAGCATGTAGATTTACTGCTATCCAGGCTGAACTTTGTACTTCTAACTAATGGTAATCTAAGGAAAGAGGCAAGTCGGAAGTCGTCCCAAATTTAAGTGTCTTTTGTTTATGGTTGTGTAGGATACTCTCGAACTTGCCTCCTTAGTCAAGGGAACATTCGAGGCTGCAGCGATCCCGGAAAACGAAGTCCTAAAACTTCGTTCGCGACTTCTTCCCAAAGGTACATCGTATCTTGCGCTTTTAATCGTTTTCTAATATTAATTCCAACAGGGTGCAATTATGTCTGGGAATTACCTGTACTCAATACTAAGGAGGCCAACTCAAGTGTACTGTATTACTGTCATGTTGGTAGTGAGTCCGACAGACGCACTCGTGTTAAATGCCATCTGCTCTCTCAGGTCTTGAAAGAGCCAGCATTTGATATTCTTCGGACGAAACAACAGCTCGGATACACGGTTTATACATGCACAATGACAGACATTGATTCGATTGGTTGGCAGCTAGTCATAGCGTCTGAATACGACACAAGTTACTTGGAGTCGCGTATTGATGCCTTCTTGATACATATGCGAAAGGTAATCCGGAGCATGTCTGAAGAAATGTTCGAAAATCATAAAAGATCGCTTCAGAAACAGTGGACGGAAGAGCCTAAAGGCATGCCAGATGAGACACTGAGGTTCTGGTATACTATTCAAGGCGGATACTATGAATTTGATGGAGGCGAGAAGGATGCAGAAGTACTTCCAAGCATACCATTACAGGAAGTTCGTGTGATGTTTGAGACATTTTTTGATCCATCATCAGAAACACGTTCCAAGATTTCTATCCACGCAAGATCTCAATCAATACCTAAAGTCCCTAAGCATCCTACTCCTCCAAATGTTAGTAAGATGGCATCTCAGAGATTTCTCCGTGTATTAAATGACGAGCACATCTCTGCGAGGGAAGACGAGTACAAGCAGCAGTGTGATGTTGAACCAACATTACCTGAAATGCATAAATACTTGAAGAAGACTTGTTTTAGCAAGCTGCTCAGCAAAAATGATTGCAAAGTTAAGGAAATGTTCCAACAACTGAACAAGCTTGTGGAGAAATATCCTGTAAGACCTGCCCTGAAGGTTAAACATGTTAAAAATGGTACAAAGTTCAAGCATGGGCTTGAGCTTTCTAGAGTTGAAATACTAGACAAGAAATTTGAAGTAGAGTACTAATAGCTGAGTAAAACCTGTAGAGTCTTTGTCATATGGGAACAATAGTATAGTGTGCTGTTAACATTATAAAGTTTGGAGACAACTATTACAGAAACAAATAATACTCAAACTAGTAACAGTGTTTTTCTTAATTGTTAATTATATAATACAGTATCCAAATATTGTATATTATTTACAACTAATAAAGTTACATCTATTGTGAGTATTATTATTCTAGCCTTGTTTCCTGATGTAGAGAAATGTACTACTATTCTAGCTAGTTGTATAATACAAAGATAGAACATACTCTGTCTTCTTGAAAATGTTACAGAGTTTTAGTTTATATAATATAATATAAACTTTCTAGTTTTATCTAAATTAGATTATACTAGATTAGTCAAAGATTTTATCAGACTTATAATCTAGTTTAAAAGGTGAGTCAGAGAAAAATCTAATGTGTAATCTAATCTAGGAGTTTATTTAAGTAAAAAAATACTTTATAAAATTTGTAAATTAAATAGTAAGTTAGTTTATATATATTTTGCAAAATTAATTATATAATAAAGATATATAACTTAGAACTAGTAAGTGTATAAAGAATATGAAAGTATATTGTTTATAGCTTAATTTGTAATATTAGAAACATTTTATTATAAATAAACAATATTTTCAAACTGTATGTTTTAAATAAAATAACTAATTGTTTAAAGAAATTTGTCTAATACTTTTGAGAAATCTTAATTAAATACTAATATACTTTTCTCTTTTATTAATTTCTCTTTATTTTATTTTCTTCCTTTAAAACTTTTAATTACTCTTTTATTTTGTTTATTTGTAATGTTTTATTTTTTATTTTACTAAGTTTTTAAATAAAATATTAAATACTTAGTTTAGAAGAGTCTCTCACATTTTTATTATTTATTATACACAACTTGTATACCTGACATGTTATCTGTCCTCTTAACAAGACAACTAGTACCTTTTTAAATATAATAAGCTTTTATTATAGTTCTTTGTAAAGGCTAAAGCCTTACTCAAGAACACAGAACAGGCAAAGACCTGGGATTGGAGAGGTCAACCTAAGTACAGGAGCAAGTATGAAGATGAGATCTAAGTAATCTACAAATAGCCCTTTTATATTTATCTAAAGTCACATGTGTAACCTCAGAGGTTACACTCTTCCCTACTCTGAAGAAATAAAAGGGGGGGTAGGGAAGTAATTAATGAAGAGGGAAAGGAAAGGTATAGAAAGGGGGGAGGGGAAGGAAGAAGGAATAAAAGATGTAAGAACAGGAGACAAGGAACACACAGTCACAAGCTAGAAAAGCCTTGACTTAAGCTTCAACTCATTAATGAAAACACACAGGGACCTTAATAGGAATAGAGGAGATAGTATGACCAAGACAGACACAAGCTTAAGCAAAGCTGTTAATGAGGAACAGTATTGTAAGCAGTCTAGGAAGACTTTGACTTGTTAATGAAAAGGTGTAGGAAGTATGAGTAGAAGTCAGAGTGTATGATAAAGAGAACTCAACAACTCTTTAGTTAAGCCAGCACTTGCTGCTTGAGGGAGGTAAAAAATGATCAAAACACATAGTCAAGAAGTGAACAGCCATCCTCAGGCATGTGTCAGTACTAGGAGGAGTAGAAGGACCAGGTTGACAAAATTGACACACTAATTCTGAGGGTGACAAGAGTATAGGTAGTGTGTGGGTAAAACAGAGTGTGTAGAGGTAACAGGGGGTCTGTTCATGCTAGAAGGACAAAGGGGGACAGGACAGGACAGGATAGGACAGGACAGGACAGGACAGGACAGGACAGGAAAGGAAAGGACTAGATGATACTAGTAGGGGCTTGATACTCTAGCTAGGTCTAGGACTGGAGGTGATGCTAGTAGAGGCTCTAGACATTCAGGACTAGGATTAACACTAGTAGGAGCTTGGTACCCTGACTAGGTCTACAACTGGAAAAGGGACTTTATACCCTAGGAAACAGGAGGTGATACTAGTAGAGGCCCTATATGTTCAGGACTGGAATTGACACTAGCAGGGGCTTGGTACCCTGACTAGGTTCACAACCAGAAAAGGGGCTGTATACTCTAGGAAACAGGAAGGGAAGGGAAAGGGACTTTATACCCTTAGTAAACAGTAGACAATGACAGTAGACACTAGACAGTGACAGAGTAAGAGATAGTATAGTAAAGAATAGACAGTCTTGACAAACACTTTGACAATAGAGAGATACACATTGTAGTAAGTATAACAAGCATACAACAAATACACTATAGTTGACAGCTCAATCATAATGTCTATTGTACTAAAAGTAGACAGTATCTGTTAGTGTGGAATTTGCAGCTCCTGAAGAGAATTACACCACAGTTCTAGATATTAGTAGTAGTATCAAGATAGTGCTTCCTTGTACAATTTCAGGACTAGTATTGTTCTTAGGATTGAGGAGCTTGAGTTTGATTGTTCTCTGGTTTAAGGTTACAATAAGTAGTAGAGGAAGCATGAGTAGAGACAGACATAGATAATCTGCTCAAAGTAGCACAGTAAAAGCATATTCTCAAGTGGCAGAACCTTGATTGTAGACAGCTGACCAGACACACAATAATGTACAATGTATGTAACTCTAGCACAACTACACACACTCTTCTTAACACATTCTCCTAGAATCTAGGGACCAATCTGGCAAGAGTCTGTTGAGAGAGGGTGGCACAGTAAAGGCAGATAACAATGTCCCTATAAGCTCTAATCTGCTCAAAGTGGCACAGTAAAAGCATATTCTTGAGTGGCAGAACCTTGATTGTAGACAGCTGACCAGATGTACAATAATGTACAATGTATACAACTCTAGCACAACCACATACACTCTTCTTGACACATTCTCCTAGAATCCAGGGGCCAATCTGGCAAGGGTCTGTTGGGAGAGGGTGGCACAGTGAAGGCAGATAACAATGTCCCTATAAGCTCTTAAGAGTGAACAGGATATTGAATAGGATCTCAGTGTAGCAATTGTGAAGCTTGTAATTAACTAGGGTCTTACTGTAGAGTACTGTAGATGTGTAGTAGATAGTGGACGTGTGGGGGGAAGCCAGGAGGAGGCTGACAATCTGGTGGCACAAGTGAAAGGCAGTGGATGAGAGGTAATCCCCAAATTTTGCAATGTTCAAAAAAAAGTGTAAAGGCCAGAGCCTCACTCAAGAACATGGAACAGGCAAAGACCTGGGATTGGAGAGGTCAACCTAAGTACAGGAGCAAGTATGAAGATGAGATCTAAGTAATCTACAAATAGCCCTTTTATATTTATCTAAAGTCATGTGTGTAACCTTGGAGGTTACATTCTTTAAGTTTATACAAACTATTTCCAAAGTATTCTTTATTTATATTTTTATTTTTAACTTTTCTATATTTTGTTTATTGTCTTATACTTCTAATATTCTCTTTATCTTACTCTTAAGCCTTCTGACACTCTCTACTCTAACACTTTTAATTTTAAAACTAATTTTAATAAAGAATACTAAATATAAAACTAAAACTTTTTCTACTTTGTAATAATTTTAGAACTATAGTATTAGTACTATTTCTTTTTTTATATTTTAACTTTTATTATTATATGTTTTTAGAAAATAAAAATGTAAAACAAAAATAGTAAGAATGTAAATTTATAATTTAAAGTAAAGATATAATTAAAATAATTATATTACAAATATTATAAGTTAAAGAATTTAATAAAAATGAAAGCTAAATACTTAGACTTCTCTATTAAGGTTTATTAACTAACTTACTTTGTTCTGAGTCTTAGAGTTAGATTTTTCAAGTTAGATTAAGTGTTTTTACAATTCTTAATTAAAATAATACTTCTTTTCAGATTTTAATCTTTTTACTATAATTATTCAGAACAAGTAGTAAATCCTTCAAGAAGAGTACTAGAGTAGTCTCTGTATATAAAGTACACATATATGCTAAAATTATACTATGAAATCTATTAGTAAAATTAATAGAGTTTAATTATAAACTGTTTATATTAAAACAACAAAACTTACAGAATTTAAAATTTTCTTTCATTTTTTTGCAGAAAAATACATACTGTGACTTATATAGTGTAAATACACTTTCCTGTATATTTGGCGGCAATAGTTGTTGTGGTTTGTGTGTAATTGTAAAATCTGAAGAGTAGATCATGCTACAGTAGGTTACACCGTGGGAACGAAGTTGTGAGCCCGTCACGTGCCCGTACAATCCTCTCGAATACAGCAAAGTACTCTGTCTCTCGCTACTATGTAGTGCCTCCACATAACTTGTGCTGGATATTATGACACTTTTCAGAGACTACCTACGTAACCATGCAAAGTTCTACTGTCCACCCGTCGACAGCCATCTGATGGAGTCTGCCTCCCTTACGGATGCCGAACTTGAGCAGGTGTTCTCTCTGTGGAAATCGGATGATACAGTAATAGAAGCCCGCCGTGATATGCAGTTGGTTGATGTACTTATCAGTGTCCTCGACGAGGCGCTTGGTGAGGAGCCTATGCCAAAACATATTACTGGAGAGTTCAAGCGACACTATAAAGCCGAAATGGATGCAGATCGTGACATTGTATCGGAAGCAGATGTAAGCATTGTCTCTCGCTGTGGAGTCGCTTTCCTCATCTTATTATTTTCAGGTCAGGACTTTTATCGACAAAGGGCCTGCGCAGTTTCTCGCACGAATCATGTTATCCTGCGGGAATCGCATTGCGATAAAGACTGAAACCGCAGCTCCAGGTGGCAGATGCACCGTAGACTACGTGTTATCCACAACGGAGGGCAAGAAGGCTTTGCTTGAATTGAAGGCTCCAAGTGTCTTCGATTTGAGTGAAAAAGAGCTCTCTATACTGTCCGATGCCGAAGACGGACCCCACGTACGATTGGATTTGCAAAAACCTGGGATAGGAATGAAAGCCGTCATCAAGGTCTCTGTGGATAACGGATACTCAAATACTTTATTGATGAATTAACTCTCTCAGATGTGTGTGTGCATGATCCTGTACAGAGTAGAGTGGCTCGCGTTGTCGTGCTTCACAAAGTGGGTGTTCCTCCGACTCCATAGACGAGGTACAGATGAAGCACCATACATGACGTATTCGACTATCGAAAGGCAATTGGACAATACCAGACCGTTCCGTGCATTGCTAGGGATGATGCTTGCTATTTCAAGAAATATCGATGTCCCCACAAACGCCGATATGAATGTGCGACTTCAGTCAGTTCCGGCGACTGAGGCACCCACTCCAAGGGAACATCCCAATCTCTTTTTACGAAATCCAGTGCAAGTGACAAGGGGTGAGCAATTAGTCGCCCGTTCTAGTGGAGGATGCAGCAATTCATCGCCGTCGTCTTCTGGCTTCCTCGTAATTTTCAAATATTTATCAATTCGTTACTTCCATTGATTGAGTCATTTCTAGATCACATGGTCGCCAAAATCCATGTCGAATGGGAGGTGGCTTGAATTTCATGGAGTAGACACCGACGCTTTCCCGGCTTTGGGCAATGACGGTGTTCGGCTGTGTGTTCAGCGCAATATCGGAGATGGGTCAACTGGGGTTGTCTTCGAGGCAATCCCTGACGACAATGAACATAATGGAGCTTCAGGACGCCGAAGATACGCGATTAAAACAGTTGGAAAAGGTGAAACACTCAAAGAGCAGAGCTGTGCTCGGCGTCTTTTCAACGAGCTCGATATATACCGCCGTATCGAGCAGACATCCCCAGCATCTGTGAAGATTGTACCGCAGTGTTATGGACTTTTCGAAACAAGCCGAACGTGGGCGTTAGTCATGGATTATGAAGGGAGTGCGCTCAGGCATAACGGGGAGTGGTCAGATCTGTCACCTACCGACAGGTGAGGATAGAATCATCAGTGCCTATGCAGCTTGAATACTATTGAACAACGTCGAAGGCAGGAATTGTTCAATGCAATATCGACATTGCACGGACTTGGAGTCTACCATGATGACTTGGAGCCACGGAATGTTGTCCGAGGCAGCGACGGATCGCTCAGAATTATTGATTTCACATCGAGTACGCTCCACGATTGTCATCCTGAGGTCAGTCTTCAACTCTTCAACTGTTCCTTGTCTAGCCGTGACTCATTACGAATATTTAACAGACATGTGCAGAGCTGGGTGAGATTAGAAGCCTTTTCGGGTTGCAGCTATGGTAATAAATTCCTTGCCCTTTGTTCCTCTTTCATTACCTTTTTTTATCTCTCTATTCTTAACTCGAGCGGATTATTCTACCTCGCGTCCTCCAAGATCATTTAATTTTCTATATCGATGATACTGATATCACGTTTTCCCCCTTAATTGATTGCAGCAGCGAACTACCCCGTGATAGATCCGGACACCAGTGTTGTCCGCCACGGTGGAAACGTCCCTCCGATGGCGCTCTCCTCCCGCAAACCCTTGCCTCTCGCCCTCCTCCACATAGCCAGTCCCTTCATACAAGCCACCAAGCTCCAAAATCCCCTCATATCAAACGACTTTACAGGCTACCAGCCCTTTTCCGACATCTCCCAAGACTTCTACGGTAAGAGTCGATATTCACTGAACATGTATCTGCTATACGTACCAGAGTTTGTGTATTTGGCAAGCTCTCCTGAGTGATTACGCGCGTACAGAGTCTCAAAGATACATAACCAATGGCTGTGTGAAGAGCCCTTGCCAGATTCAGGGAGTTGGCAATTAAAATTGCCAATCCGGCCGCCCAGCATCATATGATTGAAGTCCTTACAGCGAGCCTCGACTCGGTCATTCACCAGGCGGAAGATCGCAACGACTCGTATTGTTCAATAGCTTCTTACTGTAAGGATTTGATTTACTGGTTTGTATTTTATTACTACTACATTGCTGATTGCATCAGATCATCACACAGTGGGACCCACAAGCACATATATTCTCATTGTAGTTAGTTACACTTCCTCCTCATGTATCTACACGTGTATACCCCTATAAAAGACAGTATCAACTGCTGGGTAAAGGGGATTCTTTTCCCCTGACCCCTCACTCAAGTACTAGGTTATCCCAGTCAGTAGTTGAGTGAACTAAGGGTGATTAGAATTCTCTTGTGAGGAACAGTGAGTTTCCTTACATATTTTTGACTGTACCCACCTAGCACTGAAACCCCTTGCTGGATGCTGAGGAACCAAAGGGTCTGATCAACCCTAGGTCTCCCTCATTGTCTAGTACCCATCAGGAATTTTTCATGAGTAAAGTTATGATTTTTGAGTAGAAACAGAGACTACTTACTGGATTGGCCCTTAGTAGGTTCACAATGCTTCAGAACACTGCAGAACACTTCTGGAACACATTATCACATATTGATATGGACCAGCACTAGATACACTGGAGGTTCACATTGATCAGATGGGTTGAGGACCAGGCATCCATAATGGCAAAAAGGAACAAACAGGTGCACATTAAGTTTACAGATAATAGACAACAAGATTATCTATTGGATATGGATTACAATGTAGCTGCCAAGCCTTGACTGACAATTCCTAGAGGGTACCCAAGTCCAGATATCAATACTAATATGCTAGGATGTAAGTCCTTGTCCCTTGTGGGCTGGAGGCAACCTAATGAACCTATACCAGGTGATAAGTCCTTGTCTACACAAGGCTGGAGGCACCCTGATGAACTAGTACATACTAATAATGTAGAATTAAGGTATGTAACTGTACTAGTGCATATAGTTAGTTAAATGTGTACTGTAGAGCAGAAACTAGTGAGTACTCACACTCCTAGGCTTGTAGGAATAGTAAATAGTAGTACAAAGAGTGGAAACACTCAGGCAATTGGATTCAAGGATTCATCCAATCAAGTACAGAAGGTCAAGTTTGAGGATTCAACTTACTGAGTACAGGTGATTGAGCTTGAGGATTTGCTCTATCAATTTCAGGCTACCAAGTTTGAGGATTCACTCAATAGAGAACAGGTGATTTGGTTTGAGGATTCACCAAGTTGACATAGAGAGCTAATGGCAAGCATTAAGGAATTTGCAAGCTAATACAAGGAGTACATTATGTATATAGTTAGTATCAGTGAGAGTGTGGATAAGTATCCAGTGAGCACACTTACTTCAGAACAGAAACACATTGACAACAGTGATGTAGAGGGTAATGAGACACCTAAGACCCTTTTCAGTAGCAAAGAAAGTAGCCAGGACTCAAAGGACAAGAGTAACAAAGGCTAGGAGAGTCAGGCATTGAAACTACAGAGAATTGATGAGGAACAAGATTTCCAGAAGGCAAGTAAGACCTTCAGACACATTGCAAGAGCCAGAGTGATTGAGATAGACATAGAACATGTCAGCCCATTCCACAGTTTGATAGACATCAAAGATTTGAATAAGAGAATGTACAAGTTTGATGGAATGTACCAGGAAGAGGAGAAAGTAACTCCTTCATCAAACAAGAGCAGACTTGATAGTATAGTAACAGAAAAGTGTGAAACACTTCAGGCAGGCTACAGAACGAAAGCCAGACATGCTATAGTGCTAACAGACAGTAGAGATCAGAACTATTGATCTAAGAGTGTAGAAGAAACACTCAAGAGTCCAGACAAACTATTACATTTGTAGAAAGCAAAAGGAAAGTGTAAAGTGAAAGGAAAACACAAAGCACAAGGAACAGAACAAAAACTGGAACTGCCAGGCATTCAATACAATTGTGAAATTGATTCAGACTATCCAAGCAAAACAGACATCACATTGACAGAACAGTACTTTGAGGATAGCAAAAGTGAATGTATATTAGAACTACAAGGATCAGTACTTGATCCAGAGGGCAAAAATCAAGCATACACCTACAAAATCAAGTGTTTAACCTCATACATGGCAGATATTGACTACACATTGTACAGGAGCAATGTACAGGACTACTACAATGGATACAACACCCTAGCCAGGTCCAGGAATAAGAGAGAAAGCAAAATACCTAGATATATACAGTCTCAAATGGAAACATTGAGTTTTTCAGGACATCAGAGTATCCCTTGTGAAAATAAAAGGAACAAACAATCCCATAGCAATACTTTGTGATTGAAAGCAGTACCAGGCAAGGCATACACTAGTAGTATTAGTGAGAACAATATTGATTCAGAGTGTAGCAAACTATACAGTTCAAAGCTACATATCAAGCACAGCAAGCATAAGAATAGCTCAAGCAGTAGTTCAAGAACAAACAATGGACACAGGCATAGCAAAGTACTGAATAATGTTTAGAAAGGCAGATTTGTATCAGTAAGACCTTCAGAGAGCCTAGCAAAGAATAGCTACACATACAGAGCAATACAGAGCTCTAGGATACAGAGAAATGGAAATCTCAACCCAGGATCAGACCCAGACAGTAATAATTTGGATTCCTCTTCATCTAATGACAACAATCAAAGTAATGCTTTATTTGAACTATCAGACATTAATTTGAGTGATACAGAGGCTACTAAGAAGCACAAGAAATGCTTGAGGAAGAAACAGAACAAGAGAGTTCTGTAACAGGACACACGTTCAGGCATGTGAACAATACATTTGAAAGGGCAAATTCAGTATATTCGAGACCCTATGAGACTACAGCACTTAGGCATTGTACTACAGGCATTCAGTACAGGAATAAACATTGTAGGAAGTCTAAACATTGAGATAGACAATTGTATGAAGTATACAATGACATTTTACACTCAAAAGCACAGGCATACAGTGTAGAAAGGATTCTACAAGACTACAGATATGTATAGCACATGGAAAGGACTAGGAAACACACATACAACCATTGTTTCAAGGAATCTAAAATGCTACAGGTATAAGGTAATGTATACATAGACATTTCAGAGACACAACTACTAATTCTTAGAGCCACAAATTGAAACAATACTCTTAAGAAATACAGGCTGTTCACAGACAACAGGAATGTATACTAGGACATCACAAAAGGACCTGAGAATGTTAGACAATCAGAATATAACTAGCCAGATAGTATTATAGTTTACAAGGCAATGCAAATAGTAAACTGTACAAGCAGGACAATCTATCAAGCATTACTAGACTATAAACTATGACTACTCTTGGATACTGAGAAATATTTCAATCCAAACGATTCACACAGGTATTCTATTAAGTTAGAAGGCTACATCATACATTGGAAGACAGAAATCAGTACATTGAGTAAGGCAAAGTGCATATACATTGAGGATAAGATGATACTACTTCAGAATAAGTATCAGGCATGGAGATATATTGACAGCAATAGAAAGACACAGACATATGCATACACAGTTGATTCTATTCAGTACAGGAAGGTATTCAAAAGCAAAGAACTGCTTCAGACAATTTCAGGATCAGGAGAATGTTCAGACATTCAGGTATATTGATTCTACAACATTGGAACAGACATTTCCATCTTCAGGATTGAAGAAACAGTCAGTAATGAGTACAATTGAAGTAATTTGCATAGAGTACTGTTCTATAAGGTACAATTGGATGTTACACTACAAAACCATTCAGTTCATGACGAAGAATTGTTCAGAAACATTGAGACCAGCTTGAAGTACAAGGATCTATAGTATACATTGTATCTACAGCAGAACATAAGGTATTACATTGTGAAATACACCTTCAGACAGTCAGGATTTATTAGAATAGACTCAGGATACTTTATCAGACATATTATAGACATTGCAGGCACTCAAATGGATGCACTAGCATACATATACTTAGGATACATAGTAAGAATCAAGATATTCAAGCTACAGGATGACAATTACAATCTACAGGATGTAAAACCACTACAATCTATGTACTACAATGATAGTAAGACACTACTGAGGTCAGGAAACAATACACTTTGTATGGAACAAAGTACAGAAGTTCAGAGGGCGACTTTAAGCCAGAGAACAGGTTTGGAACCTAGACAATCTGCTCAATCTGCTCAATCTGCTCAAACAGATTATCACACTGCTTCAAGGGAAAGCAAAGGCAATACACATACAGTCAGCAAATATCAGAGCAATAGTGAATTAGAAATGATTAATCAGACTATTCAAGCATTCAGACATGATACTTCAATGCTACAGAAGGAAACAGAGTATTAGGACACTCTAGGACATCTATTGAACAATGATACAGTTCAATCTACTCTAGGAATGAGTAGCTACAATCAGTTTGAAGTATGAAATCATGCAGAAGACCTCTCCAAACACTACAGATATGTTCTAGGACAGTACCAGACATTTTACACCAAAAATGAAGTCATATTTCAATGAGAGGGCAAGAGGCACATGCATTACATTGTATACACACTCTTTGAGCATACAATCATGTTTGAACATACATTTCTCTTACATGGATTACTACAGAACAATTTTGCAAAGGACTTTGCAGTACCAGACAGTATCAGTACTACAGGAAACAGGACACATGATAGGTACACAAGGAAAGAATACATTAGCACAAGGACAAGGACACAGAAAGACAGGAAGTCAATACTAGAGCACATTGATCTACACATGGATTTGCCAAATGAACAGAGAATTGGTAGCATACACTCAGGACTTCAGGTAGTGCTACTGTGCATACAGACAGGACATTTCATTGAGACATACATGGAACAATGTAGCATACAGACAGTTACAGTACTCAGGAAAGTAGAGAACACTACTTAGACATTTTGTGATAGAACATTACACTATGAGACAGTGAAAGTATACTTGGACGATTCAGGAATCAAATCAGTCAACTTACAAAGGCATGAACGAGTTGAGACACAAGGAAACAGTATGAGAATACAGCAGGACA